ACTTACTAAACGTGAGAAACATATCTCATTTACATGCTCTTTCGATACTAAGCATATTTTCCCTTTAGTAATCATCTTTAATTATCACATAAGTTCACATTGGCCTTTTCTAGACCCTTATGTAAACATCTAATCATAATAGCTAATAGATGTTCCTAAGTGATCAAAATCCTTTCACTTAGAAACAGTAGCAAGTGAGTAAACCTTTCACTTTAACTTTTCATTATGATCATGAGAACTACCTTTCAATCATATAACAATCATATCATATCATACATACATTTCTCATAGATAATTCAAGTGTATAGGCTTAAGGATGAGGGGCCTTGTCATCAGCACCACAATAGCACATTAGATATGGCATCATTACTATCTAAGTAATTCATTTTTGATAATCAAATTCAAGGAAAAACCAACATTCATACCTTCTTGCCCTGTATGGGACTTCATACTTCAATCACAAAACAATGCATGATGAATACATCAAATAAGGTAATTTATGAAGTAATAACATAACTAACATCAATATAAACAATCCATATATTCATCATCTTTAACCAATTCACCATATTAAATCTAAGATTTATGAAATTAGGGAAGAACATGTGTCCAAGGGAATTCCAAGTCCAAAAAACAATTACTCGTGGCCTTACACCTAAAAACCGTAAGTAATCATAATTCTTCATTCATAAATTTTGTTTCTGAAAAGACCCAGGTGTAAAAAAAACCCTTAGATTTTGGAGAATTTTGAAAACAACTTAGGAGGGATATTTTAGGGAAAGGAATATTATGAGTGAAAGAAATCATACATTAATGAAGATTTAGACACGAAATTGAGTTGAATTCTTTGAGAATTTATCCTTTTCTCTGATCTCTAAAGTTCTTCGATGGAGTTTTACGAGAGAGAGAGAAACTAGAGAGAAGGAAGAGCTTCAATATTTTCTTGACTTCTAATTGAGTGTTTTGTGTTTTTGATTGGGGAATGAATGTAAAATGACCAAAAACTATTTATATTAACCCTCCCAAAATATCAAAAACACCCCTACATTAGTTGGACCTTAAAATGAAGTCCAACTTGACTTTTCATTAAATCCCGAAATTATCAAGAATTAGAAAGTCCACGACTCAAAACATGGTCTAAATTTTTTTTTTGGAAATGCTTTTTGAGGCAGAAGACCCCATGCGCGGAGCTGAAAGTCTTAAAATTTTGAAGTTAGGCGCACAACGCACAGCGACTTTCAAATTTCGTCCGTCGATATTTTCTTCTTTGTTTTCATCTCTAAACCCTCTAGACTTCCACGACTCTTTTCCCAAATACATAGGATTGTAGTTACCCCCATTTTAGGTCATAATCCATTTGGTTAGGCTCTAGTGGTTGTGGTTTAATTTAATGGATTTGAAGTTGCTAATACAAAACCACCCATGTGTTTTCAACTTGCTCGAGAGAGAGGTCGCGAAACCAAGACCGCTAGATTGATATCCTAAGAAGAGAGGTGACATAAGGCTCAGCCCGAGAGGGTGATCCCTAGTATCATATCCAAGCACTCTTCATCAAAAGAGTGGGTGTGGATAAGGCGTAGGCTAGTCTTCATTAGACGAGTGAGTGTTCAAGAGCAACCCATTTGATATGGGGTAAGTTGCCCGGAGGAATTTTACTTTCACCTAAATCTTAGCTTAGTTACCATTATTTTTAAAAAAAATCCTAAAGAAAGCATACACCCATTGATTTACATCAACATATACTGCGGTCACACCCGAAGAACTTTTACTTAATTTTCTCTTTATTTTTACTATTTTTACTACTTGTGAAAAAAAAACCTTTTCAATATTTTACACTTCGGAGTCACTAACTGAATTTACCTTATTTTTATTCAATAATTTCCTAAGCTACTACTAACTAGAATGAAATTCTAGTTTAACTACTATTTTCACTATCACTCTCTTGGGACTCGACCCTAACCTTTCGCTGGGTTACTATACTTGCTTCGATTCCTAGACACTCAGACTGTATGCTAGTGTCATTGATCATGATTCACAGAGATAAAGTACCACTCAACTCAGTGGGTTTATGCGGAATTATGAGCATGAACTATTCAACTCAAGGACTCAAAGATACTTTTCATCTCAAGACTATTCTACTTATAGGGTTTTGCGGAATATGAACATGAGCAATTCAACTCAACGAATTCATGGGTAATAGGTAATAGTCCCATGAATTGAATAATAATATCTAGGGGATTAAAAACTCAAGACTCAAGACTTAGAACTTGAAGATACTACTCCTTTTAATGATACTCAATTTATGGAGACCACGCGGAATATATGGGCTTGAACAACTCGACTCGAAAATCTACATAACTATGTGGAACTCATGTATATGCCTCTTCTCATTCTCTTACTTACTTCCTTAAAACTTAATTCAAATCAATAGTTGATCTCAAAGGACTCACAATTCAACTCAAAGGATTTCTTGAACACTACTCTTAGCTCTCTCTTGAATGTGAATTATGAATTCAAGAGATATGGTTCATGATATGAAGGATTGTATAATGATAAATTAAATTCATAAATACACGTTGCTCACTCTCATACTCAATTTCTCGAGTCTTGAAACAAGTTAGAAGACTCCTCAAAAAGGCTCAAAGTGACTTTCTTAGAATGTTTGAAAGAATTCTCAAAATGTAACTCTTAACTCTACCTTGAATTTTATTTATGAATTCAAGATTGTGATTTGTGATAGGAAATATCGTAGTATATTTTGGAGTATTTTTAGATATTTAAACATGAAAATAATCAAGAAATCTTTTTCCGAAAGTAAGCTGTGACGCGGAGATGCATTTTAATATTTGGTCGCAAAATAACTTTTAAGGCATAGAGGTCTGTGACCTTTCAGAGATGCGAAGAAATTTTTTATAAAATGGAGAGTCAAGTCCTCGACGCGGAACGAAGTGTCATATTCAACTGACTTTTTCCTTCTTCAAATTTCTAACCCAATTCGCCTAAATTTGATTCCTTTTCTCAATCCTTTTTTAGATTTAGATACCCAACACATGAACATAAACCTACTCATATACAACTTTAAAAATCGACACGACTTCATCAAGAACTCAACAATCTCATCTAAACTCAAGAATTAAAGCCAATTTCAAGAACATAATTCAAGAACATCAGAACTTTCTACAACAAAATTTACACCGAATTTAACAAGATTGACGTGTGGGTGAAAAAAATCCAACACTATGGAAGCTTAGATACCTGAAAAACCAATCTTGTTGAAAAACTTGAAGGAAAATCGAGAAAGAAGACCCTAGACTTAGCGTTTCTTGAATTCCTTGAGCGTACTATTTTTGTGGTGGATGAGAGGATTTGATTTATCAAAAATCGATTTTATACATGTTTAGGGCAATTTAAATGACCTCCTAAGGGTTTTTAGGACTAAAATATCCTTAAACAAATAAATAAAACGAGCTAGGAGTCAAAATAATTTTTCAGCATTTAGTGACGTCCGTATTAGCTCTATAACACAGAGTCATCGCGGAGCTGCTGCCGGTTTTTGCACGTCGATAGTAAATCAATCGTAAGTTTCTACTCAAAGCTCAAAAATTAGCAAAGTTGGTGGGTTGGATAGAGGACTCGAAGGTATTTAATTTGATATCTCAAAGGTCTCCTAACTCATCTTTTGCTAAAAGTTATGGTCATTTGAAGTTGACCCAAAACTTAAGAAAACTTAGGAATGAGTCGAATGCTTTTCTCTTTTGTTCTTCTTGGAACTCAAGGTGTTACATCTAGTGACCTTAACACTTAATTTTTTTAAATTCCTTGCATAAATCTCACTCACTACGAAGAATAGTTTGAGTCTAAGCTCAAAAATTTAATGGGGTGTTACATTTCATGTCAAAATCGACAAAAAATATATAAGGGGTTTGTTTTCTTCATTTGTCCTAGTATTAGCGGAGAGTTATGTGGTACATATATGAAATTCTTCAGCTGATAGAGTATTTGGTTAAGTTTATAAGTGGGCTATTGGGTGGGTATAATATTTTTAATTAGTTTAATTAATTTATATGATAGCCAATAGGATAATGACACGTCATTAATGAATTTAGGTTGTTAAAGAAAGGGAAAAATAGAGCCCAAAGGTTGACGTCAAGGTATTTAGGCCTGAAAGGTAGAAGAAGGATATTTTTGTACTAATTCACATAATTGAAGGGTATTTTAGATTCTTTTCTTTTACAATTTTTTATGCGGAATTATCCACCGAAAATGTCATATGAAAATTTCTATATTTCACGAATATTTACCAAAAAGTTCTTATGATTTTTTGTATTTCTTCTAAAAATATTCGAGAAATAATTCAAATTTGCCTGTCTAAGCCTGGGCCCAATAATGTTACGTTTTTTTAATTCTAATTTATATGATATAATTGAAATTTGTATAGTCGTTCAAATTTTTATATGATATTCAAATATTTAAAATTGTTAATTATTATAATTTATAATATTTTAAATAATATTTGATCTTTCTTTTGTCCCAATTTACGTGGTACATATAGAATTTCAAGAGTTAACCGAATTTTCTTGTATGTATTTAAAATTTCAAGTTGTTAATTATAGTAATTTATAATATAAAAAAATATTACGTTATTTTCGAATAATATGTTACTTCTTCTTTTTCAAATTATGTGGTATCGATAAAATTTCAACTTTTTATGTTTGCTAAATATTTTAAATTATTAATTATCATAATTTATAGTATTTTTTTAGTGATTTTTTCAAGTTTAAAACAAATTTTAAATAAAAATAAGATATATAAATTTGAAAATATAATGGAAGTACATAAATTACGTACACTGTTTCTTAGAGTCTTCTATGTAGTGATTTATAATTAGCCAAATCATCTCACTATATTTAATTTATTTTCTTAAATTTTGTATCATATTACAATTGAATAAACAATAAAAATTGTTGTATATAATCTTCATTAAAATGGAGTTCTTTTAGAAATGGAATGGAATATATGGTGCATGAATCGGCTTTTAGCTACTAAGGCTTTTAGCTTGTGACACATGGGATATGATTTGGAATATGAAAAGACTCCACCTAAGATATGATTTGGAACACATGTTAACCAAACACATGTGCTCATAGAGTCTTATTCTATATTAGTGGGGAGTCGTCCGTGCGAATATTTATTTTATTGTGATGAATTTTAATTTCTCCATAAATTACAAAATAGTGGTAATGTGTAATTAAAATGAATTGGTGTGGCTAATTCATATAACATAGCCACTAAGTTGAGCATAAAATCCATCAGAACATAGCCATTAATGAAGACTTTATCTTACTTTAGTTTTGAAGTCCCCCGGCTTCAATTTTGAAGCCATATTTTTACTGAATTTTCCCTTCAAGTGCACCTAAGTAGCTGAAAAAGCAGAAAGCAAAGTTACTATTGACAACTACATCGAGAAAGAGGCTACCATGGACTGTTAATTTTTACTTGTGAATCAAAAGATTATCACAAAACCACAGGTTATATATATACTAAATTCATATTAAATTTCATATTGAACAACATTATTATATATCATGTGAAAACACTCCAGCTGTGCAACTTTCAAGCAATTTGGATACAGCGATATGTAAAGAATGGATAAATTCTTGACAAATGTGCTACCTAATACTGGAAATATGACATAGTACAGCGAAAATTGATCAATTTAGTGTTATCGCTGCATTTTCATAGTCCTTGAACAGAGAAACAGATGGAAATTGACCAGCCAAGCTATGCCTAATGAAATTGTCTATATCTCAACTACTTTTGTACTTGGTTTCCGATTGATGCTCAACTCAGGTAAAGCACAAGAACAGTTAGGAGTAAACATACAGCAACAAGCAAAATGTTAGATAATTTGAAACCTTGATATATAATTTTGACTTTTGGGTTGTGGTTTAGCTTCCTCGAGAGTAACCTTCATTCGGAGATTTATGGTAATGGTTGAAAATAAGAACTCCGCTGTTCAAGATGTACCAAAGACCAATTCACCTAAAATCAGATGCAGATTCATGATATCAAAGTTTATAAATTTCTATAATGAACCAAGTTCATAGTAAATTTCTTAGAAAAGCAATTGGGTCCTCATGAATCTACATATCATATTGTGAATCTTAGGATTTTAGACGAGCTATACTTACTTTTGAATAGATGATTTTCTAAAATTCCTCTAGGTATGAATTCGCATAGCAAAAACATGTGTATATCTTCTGAGTTGGCTCATGTAAGTGATTTCGGCTGCAACAGAGAAGTGAAAAATAAAATCTTCCATACATGCATTATGAATTAAAAGATAAATCGTTATAAAAAAAACACAGCAATTTAAGAAGCATTTATCTTTTATCCGCAGCCTAATTTCTACAAGCTCCATCACGATAGCATGATTAAATTAGTACGAAACACTGACAATGAATTCAAAGCTCACCCGAGATAACAAAGAAGCTAAAATCGAAGAACAATTATATAGAAGAAGTTGAAACTGCATATTTTCATCTTGAAGCTACGTTATGACGTTATACGCTAGCGTGTTTTTTCGAACAAGCAGTGATTCCCCAGGATAACCGTGACAACAAATTCTCTATTTTCTTTGGGTCTTGAGACTTGTTGACATTGTGGTCTCATTGATTTATTTTTCCTACGTGGAGCACCGACCGTTTAATTCCTCTATTTGTTAGGAAAACGTGGACAAGCACAAAAGTATCTACGGTAAAAGTAATGGAAATAAAATGAGAAAATAACGACACCAAAAAATTTACGTGGAAACCCTTCTGAATAAGGGAAAAAACCACGGGCCAAGAGGAGCAACTGATATTACTATAGTAAAGAATTTTCCAATGTGTAG